CGGTACAGCTGCATAACAGCAAATGTACAACGTTTTGTACAAGATTTTGTCATCATCAGGTACCTTGTCGAAATGTTGTACATTTGCTGTTGTGTTAAACTTGTATATTAAAGTTTTCTTCATTACCCATTCAAGCCATCTCAACTATTATTAGTCTCAAAGTGGATTCCTCGTCATCAAATATTATATGTGTCTCCATCAACTCCAGAACATAAAAATTAGAGTTATAAGTAACTTGCTCAATCTGGATTTTTTCTTCTCACTGAAAAACATAGGAAAGAATTACAGAGAGATAGAAGAAACTACAGCTGAAATAAAAAAATGTTTGCACATAAGTACATTATACTATCATAAGAAAAGGTAGGGTTACAGAATTCCATTCAGCCTATCATTCAAAATAATAACAATAATAATAAAAACACTAAAATATTAAAAAATATATCCATCAATTTTGATTTTTAAACTGAAAAAATAACATAAAATCTATTTTTGTTTTGATGGAAATATCATAATGTATATACACATACTTAAATAATGCTTTTAAAACAAACATTTAACCATTTTCTTCACTCTTATAAGAGCTTTTAATATGCAACTTTAGCTCTGAATCACATCAGGCATTAGCAGTCTAAAAATGAAATAATGTATTCAATATATATATTAATACTTCCTCAACAACTTCCTCTAAAGTTCCCTTGTTTTAAATGTAAATGTATATATATATATTCTAAGTATATTTTAAGAATACAAACATAGTTTCAGAATGACAGTAATTACATGTACAAAACAAAATACATGGCATTAATCAAATTACTGTAAATGTAATAAAAGTAAAATCTTACATGATATCTTTCTAATAACTCTTCTCTGCTGAGACCTGGTGAAAATGTCAAAGTAGATGCATTTTTCAAACTGGTGTCTTCTATACTTATGTGTTTACTGCTTTCTGATAAAGATAACACTTTGTCAATTCCATGTTCATTGAAATTAGAGTTAGTACATCCACTGTTTGCATAGCATTCCTTATCCTTTTCTGCTTGGTTTATGGTATTAAGCTGATCAAAGCTATAATCAGAAAGGTCTTGGGTTTGCATTTTATTACACTTTTCAGCCTCAAAATTGTCTTTTTGGGAACCAATATTGGTACTTATATGACTGTCATGAAGTACTGACGACTTTGGCTGTTCTGCTAGTGTATCATATTCACAGGTTAATTCATTATTTTCATGAACAGGTTTTACATGTTCTTCTCCATTATCTTTCAACTGCAATTCCTCTTCCTTTAAAACATAAAAACAGACTTTGTGTCTTTATGTATCAATGTGTATCATAAAATCTTACAGTAGTAACTCATACTAGTAAAAGTATAAAACACAGTAGAAATATTCAACAATATCAATTTCTTTATCCATCCTAACACACAGATAGGAATCATAAAGTAAACACATGTAATAGTTTGACATTAATTTGCTATCATAATGTGGATATTTCTTCAAAATATAATTAAATCAAAGTTTGTATTTTTTTCTAAGTGCTTGTAAGTTTCAACTTCAATATTTCAAAATTTTATGTAGTGATTTAGAACTGAAGATGACTAATAGATTTTTTTCTACTTTTTTCTCAATTTGTCCATTACAGATTTCAAATCAGAGGTATGTAAATATAGCATTTTAGATCTATCTTTTGTCTCCAAAAAGTTATTGCCCATAAGTTTATCTGCAGCATTACAAATATTAGGTTGTATTGCTTTATACTACAACCACAACCAAATCAGTCACTAAAGATTATAACTTTTTAACCATTTGATTATCAATATTTTTTTAACATTAGTTAGGTCACAATTTTTCCTAGCACGATAACTTTTTGTTCCAGCACCTTAAAATAATTATTTTCCTATACAACACAGATACTCTACTTAAAACAATCAAAAGAAATATACATAAAACATGCTGATTATACACTTCTAATTGATATATTTGTGATAATGTATAATGAACAAGGGGAAGGTTGTGACTCTGTGAGGGAAAAATTAATATCATTCTATTTTAATTTTCATACTTAAGCTTATTAGAGATTACAAATGACAACAGGCTTACAATAGTACAGATAATATTTCTAAATAAGTTCACTTTACTTTTTCCATTAATATAATGCCAAACCAACAGCAATTAATAACATTATGAATTTTATGTTGGCAGTGCTATTTTATCTTAGCTTAGGTAAATTCGTAGAATCGTATTTTTGTATATATAAAAACACATTTTCGCTCACACGTTAATTTCTCATATAAAAACTAATGGCATTGTTAAAGTTTAAATATCAGTATCACCATTTTCGCCAATGGGTAGTGTACTGACTACCGTGTAGGGTCTAAAATTAGTAGTAGAAATGATTAAGCTTGAAATCCTGTTCTCAAATGTTTCTATCGAATAAGGGTACTTAATGTCCAATATTCAGTTTAACTTTTAAGTTTTCGATTGCACTTGCTTAAGAATGGGCAGATCATGACAACGATGTTAATATCAAACACGCAGAACTGTTAATTTTAGTAAGCAACGGTTACTATGAACGCGATTACGTTTCTAACGTTAATTTTGCATCCTGCTGAAAAGGTGATTTAAAACTAAAAAGGGAAATTTCTTTAGTGTGCTTATGTTTCAAAAATATCAGTCAGGACTATTAAAATTACAGTGAGTGAGTAAATTTTGTTATAATAAATAACTAAGCAATTTTTTCCAATTAGTAATAATAATGTAACAACTCTTAATAAACATCAGTAGCTTTTCCACAATTTGGTAGTAACCGCAGTTGGCGCACTTTTTTAAGTTTTGGTCTGAAGAACTTGAAGAAGTAACTTTTACTTGTCTAACCTGTTGCAACCCATCATTATACATCTAAGACTTAACTTAGTTGCACAGTATTTTAACTGACAATTTTAATACATTCGTGTAAAATAAGTCATTGTGAGACTAATTTTAAACTATTAAAGAAAATGTTAGTAGTTTCTGCACCTGAAGTTAACCCTCGGAGATTGCATGCCTCAAATTCTAGAGGACAAATTCAGGTAAAAACAAAAATGCTATAGTCTATAGACTGATCGGTGAATTAGTCTTAGTGTAATCTGTTACTGTTAGTATAGTGCTTTACAGTTAGTTATTTTAAACATAATTGAGTCTGTGAATTATGTTACTTAATTTGACACACAATTCTAAATGATGGTAACTAATGTTATAACATATATTTTTATAGTATTAATTATAACTAATAGTAATAATATGAGTATGACTCGTGAGTAATGATATGATATTAATAGTTATATTTATAATGGCTGAGGCTTTATGCAGGACTGTTGACTCTTACCGACTGTTGTGTATAGTAATATTTAGAAATGGCTTGAAATTGAATGGGTAGTGAAAGAAGCTTTATTACAAATGTACAACGTTTTGAAAATCTTTTGTCATCATGATGATATCAGAAGCATGTCAAAAAGTTGTACATTTGTAATATGGTTTCTTTCACTCACCATTCCAGCCATTCTCAAACTTTGTTTTCTAAAAAGGGGGTTCATTGTCATTAAAATTCTGTATAATGTCATTGTTCAGGCAGTCCATAATTTTGACTAAAGTGTTAGTGATTGTATATGCATGCCTGCTTTGGAATTTTACATATTGCTAGTTGAAAGTAACCTAAATGAAGTAAATCATTTAGAAACATATACTACACTGTCCACAGTACTCAGTAGTGTATATAATCATGAAAACAAGTAGTCATCATGTATATACTCTTTAAACAATAGCTGTATGAAAATAACCATCATGAAAGCAATTTACTAGTTTTGACTGTTTTTGAACATTTTGCATTTTTAGTTGCAACTAGGTGAGCTATATACAAACCTAAATTAATGTAACCAAATCTAGCCTATCATAATCTAACTTAATCTGACCAAACCTAACCCAGATGGCAGAAAATATAGTATGCCTGTCTCCACTGATTATGGAAATCAGACACAGATAAACAACAATTAATATCTTCATAATCTTACTCTGAAAATAAAATTGAATAAACATTTCATCTCACAAAAGGAAGAAAGAAAATATGTCTCAAGATAAAAAAACAGATGTTGCAAATTCAATTCCAAGAACTAATGCCTTTGTCTGTTATGCCAGTAAGCCCTTGCTGTGTTGTGTAAAATGTGAGTACTTATGAAAATGTGAACAATCACAGTTTAGCCCATAGATATTGGATGCCTCATTTATAAAGCATTTTCAAGAGTAGTTGCACAATCATTATGTAGTTAATCACTATCTAATTATCATAATTTAGATGACGCTTGGTGTGATTTTTACATCTATACGCCCTTTCAGCTCCCTCACTTTCTGCTTGGGAGGTTCTGTTGCTTTTAGGGATGTGGTCTTCAGTGATGTCACTGGTCCCTTTCAGTTGTGCACATATGTGATCCCTTCAATGGTCTCTTCATGATCAGTGGAACCTTGCTCAGGATCCGTTGTCAGCTCTTGTTACCCTTCCTCCTATCCTGATGGATGATCTGCATTGGAGGTTGGTCGGAGCCCATACGTTGGTGGATGTTCCGCTTCCTTCTCCTTGTCCAGATTTACATCTTTTCGCATGCCTTCAGGGCTGGGGTGCATGAATCACTCACCAGGAGGCTTTGGGTCCTTGGCCTGTAGACGAAAGATCTTTGCGTATTAATGTCCTTGAGCTTTTTGTGGCCCTATCGGGCTTTGAATCACTTCATCTTGTCAGACATTGTCTTGTGATGATTCATTCTGACAGTTCTATGGTGGTAGCACATATCAGTCACCAAGGGGACACCCGGTCAAGATCTCTCCGTTTTTGAACTTTGGATCTACTATATTGGGACCACATGCACCACATTCATCTCATTGTATGTCACTCTCGTAGCAGATCATTTTTCCCACCCTGACCAAATATATCCGACAAAGTGGTCTTTAGATCCCTCGTTTTCTGGTGTCTTTGCAATCAGTGAGGTTTTCCCCATGTAGGTGCATTTGCCACATACCTCAGTCACAAGTTACCCCTCTTTTGGTCCCTGGTACCTCATCTGTGGGCTCAATGCCTTCAGCCAGGATTGGTCCCACAAATTTCTTTATTTTTATCCTCCTATCCAATTATTTCATTGGTTGATCTCTCATCCATATCACTCCCTGTCGAGTATTTCTGACCACTTCTTATTGGCCAGCTCAACCATTGTTTCCACGATTACAACAACTGCAACTTTCCCTCCAGTACCTCTTCCTTTGCCTTCCTTCCTTCTTTGTTAACCTCAGTCACCAGTTCTACATCCAGCCATTCAAATCCTTCATCCTCATGCCTGGCAGTTATCTGGTCCTTGGTGAGTGATAGTGGGATCTGGGACATTGTGGGTTCTAGCACCCAGATCCTATCCTATCCCCCCCCCTTTTGTTTTTGGTTACATGCTGGCTAGCTCTACACCTGTTGTTTTGATTATGTCTGATAGACAGAATATCCCCAATTCTTTTGGGAGCTATAATCACAGACATTTTCACTTTAAAATGATACCTTTTGCACAAATGGTATTATTTTACATTGTTATATTAGAACTTTGTTGACATATTCACTTACTTGTTGGCACGTACATCTACATGTACAATAAATAAATTGTAGGTTATATTATATAAGTATAGATATATTTATTGAAATGTTAGGTGCAAAGTAAACACACATTCTCTTCATTTTAGTCTCACATTTTAAAGATAACCCATTGTGTAGCTTTGTGCTTAACTTCAAACAAACAAAATTGTCATTTATTTAAGTTCAAAAGTACTGACTAAGTCTTACATACAACAAAGCTGATTTATTTGAAAATTCTAGCACCACTAATCACCTCCTTGGAATTCTCACTAGTGTCAGCTAACATTAATGAGGAGTAGGAGTTGATAAAAAAATAATAATTTTATTTTATAGCTTGATTATTTAATTCTATAAGTTCTGGGACATCAAGAAGCCTTTTAGCCCATCAAGGATGACCTGACCCCAAACCTTCCTTACCAAACAGAAAAGTAATCACCAAATACAACCTTAATACAGCAAATATTCATTAGTCTTTTCCTTGGATTCCTTTAGATTTGTAGCCACTGCAATTCTAGATGACAATTTCTTCCGTAGATTTACCATTTTATTGGAGAAATAAAACTACCTCAACAGGTCTGTATTCTTTCCAAATCAAAGTAGAGCTACTAGGATGATACCTGGGATGGAAATACTATCATACGAGGACAGGTTAAGATCTCTGAAATTGTTTTTTCCAGGAAAAGTTAGAGGAGATCAAATTGAGGTGTTCAAGATTATTAAGGAAATTTATAGTATTGATATGTCATCTTTTTCATATTTGATGATGAAAACAGTAGCACAATGGATTACAAATATAAATTTTAGCAGGGAAGAAGTCATTTTTTGGCTTAGACAACTTTATTTTTCTAACAGGCTAGTTGCCTTCAATTATTATGAGTGCAGTAAATTTAAAGGAGATTAAAGGAAAGTTGATGAATATTTAAACAATCAGGGATGTATTTCTTTCTTCTTCTTTTTGATGTTTTCCCTCGTAGATGTGATTGTAATCCTTCAGGCTTTGAAGAGTATGTTATCAGGGGAGTTGAAAACACAAAAGCAGGTGGTCTCAATCATGCTAACAAAGCACTCAGTAGGCCTAGAAGAAACAACTGTTCAACGCAAGGAGACTCTGCTAGTAGCAAGAACAAAAGAAGGCACTTCAAACTTGAAGAGACTAATAGTCAAACATCATAAACATGGAGTCATGGGTAAATGGACTTCCTCAGCAAGAGAGCGATAAATACTGCTATGAAGATGTCCAGGACAAACTGAATGAAGTAGACATGACTGTTGATGATCAATGGAAAAGCATTTAAAATGTTATTCAATAAATTAAGCCTCATAAAAGACCTTGGGGAGTTTCTACAGAAGTCTGTTTTAATAAACAACATCGTAAATACTTGCAACAAGGCTTTCTGGAAGCCTGTCACCCCACAGTGCCTCCTAAGATGCTTCTAGCTGATAGTGACAGTAAAGGCATTTGTGAGAAAACAATTAAATTTAATGTAGAACTAACTGGCAGGTTTCAGAGTGATAGTGTTAGCTTTAGTAGTAGTAGTGATGAAGAGAAATACTATAACATAATCAATCAGGTGTTTACAGTGAGTGAGGAAAATCCTACATCTTATCTGCACACTTATTGTTACCAATAAAATAACAGTCAAGATGAGGGGAGGTGATTCTCAACATCTTCCTGTTTTATCAGATCTCAGATGTCACAAGTGTAGTGTATCAAGCAGTCAGGTAGAATCTTTATTCAAGGAGTGTAAGTTCTAGATTATGATGTCAATTGTAGTTTATTAGCATCTCTAGAATCGTGATGTATAAAGAATATGAAAATATTTGCTAATGAATTTTAATATAAATAGTTTCAATTCTAGGAAGTTTCACCCAGATGACTAAGCCACTGTCACCTAGCTCACTTTTTTGTTGGTTGTTTGTTGTTCCATGCTTTGCCTTATCAACCTTTGTTTTGTGAAGGTCATTAACCAACCAAATGTTTGTGATGGGAGTCTGGTGTGGACGTTGTCCAGTTTTGCATACATTTGATTTCTCTTGTGTTGGGTTTTCTTGAGAACCATTGGCTAGTAATCAAGATCTAAATGATACTTACATGAAGATCTCTAGCTTTTACAAACAATATGAATTTCTCTTTTTGTAATATTGGTTATTTTTGAATAGATCTGAAACTTAAGTAATCTGATATTACCTGATTAGTAGTTAGTTGCTTTGAAAAATTATTTGGAACTTATTTTAACACAGCCTCCAATTTGAGTTGTGCAAAAAATTGTCCATTGTTATGAAGCATATATAAATATTGTTGCGTCAGCGAGTCACATGACTAGTGTGACGCCACGTTTCTAGA